GGGGGGGGGGGGGGGGTGTGCTGGTGGATCAGTGGGCTGTTTCATGTAAATGTAATATATTGGGTGTGAATCAAGTTCAGGAAATAAAATCTACGTCCTGAATCCAAAAAAAAGGAACTGTATTGTTCAGTATACTAGATTAGTAACTAGATTATTCAGAAAGAAGCATTTAATTAATAAAGAAATATATATATATATATATATATATATATATATATATATATACACACACACACACATACATATATACATATACAGTACATGTTTCACAGAATAATAAAATGACTTGTTAACTCTCTGAACCCCAAAACCCACCGGGGGGGATGAAAAAGCATGTTTTCTTTAAACAATCACCAAAACTATATCGCAGCCAAAAACATAACGGTCAGACTTTCATCTTTTCGACGGTCCTTTAATAACACATCATGTGTGACTAACACTGAAGTCTCATTTAAAATTCCGCCTCAAATAAACCGTTTATTCTAAACAGATCCTGTAAAAAGTGAGTTCTCTCTACTTCTAGCCATCGCTGTGCTGTTTAAATAAACCTGCAGAATTTTTATATAACTGCAGAGAAAAAAATGTGACAGGAGCAAATAAGGTTTGAAATATATACATATACACAGAGACAGAGACACACACACACACACACACACACACACACACACACACACACACACAGTATGCTGAGAATCTCCTACTGTCGATGTCCATCAGTTGAAGCAAAGCGCACCGTGTCTGCGTCACTTTTCAAATTTGCATAACGACGAATTCTGTTCCCGAGGCTTCAAAGTAAGCTGGCTACACGGTCAAGTATCATCACGCTTGAAACCACTCCACAAAGACAAAACAACACTAAAGAGCAACCAGCAGGAAGCCACAACACCCACTTCCACACCGCTGATTACCCTTTGAGGGCTCCTACTTGTCAATGATTTAAGGTTTGGAAGGATATCTGCCGTCCGTGCTTGTCGACGGGTCGGCGGTGGGGAGAGTTGATGCGGTTGCGGTCCCTGTGGACCCTCTCGACCAGCCCGTGGTGGCGGGTCCCTCTGGACGAGTCCAATCCCGATGGAAAGCCACTCTGAAAAGAGACATCGGACAAGTGAGACGCAGTTTCCCACAGATTGGCTGGGAGACAGGAAGACGGACATTAGTCAAATGTCTTCAAACTTCAGTTGTATCTGAAAGCACTGTTGTGCCCCAATGTAATTAATTTAGCCAAAACAGATACTTAGTTAATACCTTTTACTACACTGTATTGACATAATCACTGACTATTATAGGGGTCATGTGATGGCTGCTACGTTTACATCACGCTGGCTCTTCAAACACAAAGGAACAGCTGATTAACACTACGGGCACAAAGGAAACGGCAAACTAAAGAACGTGAGTCACCAATGCACAAAAGATGTTTCCTCGGACAAGACTGGCATCATAAATGCCAGATTTGAATGCCACATTGTAGCGATAAAATATATGTAAACAATAAAGATGTGACACTCAAAGTCAGAGTGAAGAGGAGTTTGCAAAGGAAAGAACCCTTACACCTTTTTATGGGTTGAATGCAATGATGCCGTTGAGAGTTTGGCAGTACGGCGGAAGGATATTAACCCCTAAAGTTGACGAGTGCAACCATAACAAATGGACTCTCCAGATCCGAGAGACATTACGAGCTACAAGTCATGAGATGATCCAACTCCGTTATGGCTTTATTCTGTTTTAAAATGGGCGCTACAAACAGTCCAGTGGTGGTCAACACGTTTAACATGGCGACGGCAAAATCGACAAACTCGAGGCTTCAAAACATCAGTCCACAAACCAATGACGCCACGATGACTACGCCCACTTCTTATACATGAATGAAATTTACTTTTTTCTGCAAGTTTAAAGCCCCAGCTGTCGTAGACGACACGGTTCACACCATCGCTGTCGCTAAAAGTCAACAGTCTCTGAATTTGAATATATGACCGACATGTGAGTATTGATCACGAGCACACTGCAAAACGAAACTACAGGGTGGGAATTTAGATAAAATAGGTTATAAGTACTCTGCATTCACACAATTTAATTTTGGCAGATGGTTATCATTGAGTGGAATCTGGAAGCCATTTAGTTTGTCTCTCAGAAGTTGAATGGACTCCATGAGAGTTTTCTCCCTCCACGTGGACCTGAGCACTCTGTTGCCATTACTGATCAACCTCAACGCACTTTAACCTGGGACCCTCTGTGTCCCAGCATGCCCCACCCCTTAGAGAGCTGACACAGATACAGGCCCAGTGCTGCAGAAGCACTGTTCTACGCATACAGAAGTGCACTGCTTGAAGTGATCTTTTATTCCTCCTGCTCTCTCCAGTCTGCAGCTGAACTATTTAACGCTCTCGGGAGAAGCTTGTTCGCTCATCTGAAGGTCCAGTTCAGCGTTTTGCTGTTTCTGCAGTTAAGCCAGAGGTTTTCTAAGTTCTCTCAGAGTCTTGTCATTTAATGTGCTTTTAATAAACTTTCACCACATTTTTCTTTTTTGAATTATTCATAAATATATATAAAAAAAAATAAGGTAACTATAAACTAATGAAAACATAGTTATGGATATTATATTCCAGTTCTGCTAACAGATCCCAAAAATCCTACACACTATCTTTAAGTTTATTATTCATCTGTAAATCTGTAGACTCACATTCTGGGTGATTGAGAATTAGCTTATATTATCTAACATCGATGTTTTATAAGACATAAACATTAGAAGAAGTATTCAGATGCTTTCATAGTACCTACATTTATAAAAAATTGGGGGTTGAAGGTATGAACATTAGAACAGAGTTATTGTGCTAAGACCTTGAAAAACCACTGGATGAGATCAGGACCTCTGAGCTTTGCTGTAAAGAAAATATTCACGTTCAGTTTTACAGCAAAATGACAATTCACATAAAATAAACTCCAGCGATTTACAGCACCAGTACATCTATGAGTGTCCAGGCCGACGGTGTGTGAAAAAATGCCGCCTCCTCATTTATTAGAATCACACTGATGTGTTTGCACATCTGGAGCGCCAATGCAGAGGGCTCAGTCCACAAACATATCCCTTTCCTCCAGCGGGTCCAGCAATACGTCCTGGGTCTCCAGCAGCATGGTGTCAGTGTTGGCTCCCAGAGAGGAGAAGCTCTGCTCCTGGAGGAGGAGGAGACGACGCTGCTGCTGCCGGGAGCTGAGCTCACCTCCTCCCTCCGGAGCTCCGACTGCAGGTCCAAAGCTGCAGGGGAAGCCGGATCTGGGTCTGTCCACGGTGGACCGGTCTCTGCTGGAGGATCTGG